GACTGGGCCCAGAAAAGGAATGTCCGAATATCACAAAGATAAGTAAAATTTTATGTTACTTTGCAAACTTAAGTTAATCTTTCATTCTTACTGCAAGTGGCAGATTTCAAGAAGTTTTACCTCATGCGAGGTCTACCTTTATCGCCAAAAAGGGCGAGAAATGAGTTGTTACCACCGATTTTGGTATTATGTTTTTTCAATTACTCGCGCGTAAAACTAAAGTTGATGTATAATAGCGTTGTGTAAAGACTTAAATATTGTAAAAGTTATTGTATAAATTTTATTTAAAACATTCTAGGCAAGAAAGAAGTTTTAGTCTGAAAGACTTTTTGAAATGTAGTATTTCAATGTAGAAAGAATTGGCACTTGCTTTGAAAAGAATAGAAGTTAACAATGTACTACTAATGTATGTTTTCAAATGTGTAAAATTAACGGCATGTTGAATATGTTCTTATATACAATGTGAACTGTTATTTTAAATGTTAAGAAATACCGTGATATGGTAAAAGTGAATGTTAAATTTTTTTTTTTATTCGTGTGACTGTAAAAGACCAAATCATGGTGAATATGTGTTAAAGGTTGAATGATGTGTAGTTAGGCTCTCTGACGCTACACTTCAGAGTTAGCCACTTTCAGAATAGTACCTCAGGGTTTAGAGTTGAAATTAGGGTGTGTTAAGAGGTCTTGGTTATGTTGAATTTTAACACGTTAGTGTTTTGATTGTAGGAGGAAGTGTGGAACACGTAGACAGAAAACACATTCGTGTTTGGTGTTCTTTTACAACACATGTCAGAGAGCACGGGGAGAGATAATTAAAATAGTCATGAATGAAATAAGAATGTTAAGAGAAATATAATTATACATGTTACTTGCCATTTCATTGTGTAACATTTCATTAAACTAGTTTTCCTTCCAGATCTCTGGAAGGAACCAGATTTGAATAAAAGCTCCTGTTTTGGATGCAGTACAGATGAAAAAAAATTGTGTATCCTGGGAGCTGCTATTGTAAAAAAAAATTTTTCTTTCTTTTAAATTTCTAGTTTCTAGCGAAAAAAATGTTTGTAAAATTTGGCCTCGCGTTAGATTCTAGAGCTAAAAGTTTTCAACAAGGTCGTTTTAGACCTCAGTTTTCAAACTAATTAACTCTGGCGGGAAGTATGTAAGGATCTTAAGTTTTACTAACGTTTATTTTATTTTAAATCTTTACTATCATCACTTCTTATTTTCTACTTCCGGCCAGAATTATAAGCGTTAAGGTTATTTATGCAAAATTTGTCTGGCGAACGCCAAGTATTTTAAGTTGTGGCTTTTTGCCAAGCGAGAGAGAGGAAGCAGTTAGTCGAAGCAGGCCGCTTACCTTAGAAGTTTTACGCAGTTGCTTGTTTGCCTTCCAGGCCAGAGGTTTTAATCCTCTTGATAATTTTAAACGTATTGTAGTGTTCACAGTTCTCTGTACTACATACGGCTTCCTGTTAATATAAGGCCAATCTTCCACGTTTATTATTCTAAAGTTAAATTAGAGTTTAGTTTTATTTTTATACTTTTACGTTTTGACCCCAAGTGGTGGGTCTTGTATTCCGAAGTACGGAAGTTTTTGTAAATAGAGAAAAATAAAGGGTTTTGTATACCCTTCTTGTGTATCCTGTCTACTTCCCACAGTTTTTGAACATAGCTTTAGTAAGCTCTCTGTTCCGAGTCAGGTCCTTCCATGTTCCCGAAGAAGGTAAGAAGGAACATTGAACCTGATAAAATGATAGTTATTTTGTGAATTTTATGTTTGTAGGAATTTGGTATACGTTTAAGTTGAAGTAACTTGCATGGAATAATTTATATTTGATACTAAGTATTTGTAATGCTTGCAGTATGAATTCGTTGGTGACGTGTATAATGTAATAGATGATTTAGAGGTAAAAGTTTTTGGATATTTTATTTATTTTATATGTGGAAATGTTCATATTTGGAAAGGGTAATACTTTTTTTGCGATCAGGTAATTTCATATATGTTCTTTTTACCCGGGTTTAAAGATTGAGAAAATTGTCATGTATTTTCGTGAAATTTTTTCTAATTTATGAGAAAAAGCAGTGTACATGGATATAGTGAAGAGTGTGCGCAATGCCATTTTTGTGCAATTCTGGGATGTTTTTTTAAGTAAAGATAAGTCGGCGTGTAGATGGTTTATGTGTATGTGTTATTTTGAAAAACGCGTAAGCAGTATGGTATTGTGCACTTTTTCCCAATTTTGCAGTGAATATTTGTCATGATTAAGCAGTTTTGTTAGATAAAATTTCTAGCATAAGTGTAATTCGGCTAGTAGATTGTTGGAAGAAGTGTTCAGTAGATAAAAAGAAAAGAAACATGTCTTTACTTTGTGAAGACAAAATCGCCGTGGGAAAAAAAAAATAGAGGGTTGCTGTAGGAGAGTAGGTCAGCAAATTTTCGCAAAAAAAACGCCAAGTTACCATAATGTAAAGATCAACCGAAATTACCTAATAACGAAAAAGTATATACCCTTCCCAAATATGAACATTTCCATGCATAAAATAAATAAAATATCCAAAAACTTTTACCTCTAAATTATCTATTATATTATAAACGTCACCAACGAATTCATACCGCAAACATTACAAATACTTAGTGTCAAATATTTAAATTATTTCCATGCACGTTTACTTCAACAACTAAAACGTATACCAAATTCCTACAAACATAAAATTCACAAAAATAACTATCATTTAATTAAAATATAATTAAATTCAAAAACACTAACTTAAATATAATAAGCACATACATTAAATTAATAAAAATTAGCTTACAATCCTAATTACTTTAAACTAAATCATTGCTAATAACAATTTTTCCAATAATACCAAATTACTTTACTTCCACCTTACATTTAGAACAATGCATAAAAATAATATCCTCAAATAATTAAAAATACTAACTTACCTAATCTTCTTCAGAATTTTGCTTACATGGTGGATACACTTTTATTAATGGATTCAATAAAATTATTGAAAGATTTTTTCTGCGAATTTTTCCTCTCCACACTTCCTTTGCTAAATAAAAAGCAAAATACTCTTTCTTTATCACAATGCCTACGGAATGGCGCTTTTTATAGCACTACACGTGCCCTCTATTGAAACTGGTATGTGCACCTGTTTCCGGATCTTTAAAATAATATTTTATGGTTCACAGCAAGATGTTTAAAACCTTCATCTTCCAAACATTCATACGATTTTTCACTTTAGACAGCGCCATACAATCCCAAAATTATTCAACCCTACTTCACACAACACACAATGAAGCTTAATACAAATAATTTACAGCCACAGATATTTTTTCCAAATTCCCCCTTTTCCGATTAAAGAACCGTAATTCATCCATTAATATCACATGACATATCCCATGATCTCTCATTTCCCTCACACAAAATAATGCGTAATCGGAACTGAGTACTGCTCACATTATTACCAAAGTCCCAGACCTTTATCGCCTCCAAAATGTCGCCAAACTACCAGTTACCATATTCTAAAGATCAGCCGTAAAAATAGGTCGACGTGTACATGTATCTGCCATTCTGAAAAATGCGGCAAAGAGTTTCCGATTCTGCACTTTCTTCCAATTTTGCATTTAATATTCGTCATGATTAAGCACTTTTGTTCCATAAAATTTCTAGCATAAGCGTAATTCGGCTAGCAGATTGTTGGAAAAATAAAAAAAAAAAGAAACCCGTCTTTACTTCGTGAAGACAAAATGGTGCCGGAAAAAAAAAGTAGAAGGTTGCTGTAGCAGGGTTGGTTGCCAAATTTTCGCCAAGTTACCATAATCCAAAGATTAACCTTTTCTTTTTTTTCTTAAATAAATGCCATCAAAAAATATTGTAAAAGTTTATAATTGGGTGTGCCTTGTTTTTTGACGCCATGATCAGCGGCAGGAAGGCACGATTTCAAGATGGCCGCTACACAGAACCAAAATAAAAAAAAGAACTGCACAAACTCTATGTCCATGTACACATCGATCTGTTTTCACTTAAAAAAAATCCCAGAATTGCACAAACTAGGCACTGCGCACTGCCCTTAAATTTGTCCATGTATACATCAATCTATTTTCATTTTAAAAAAAATCAGGAAGCTAAAACAATGCTAAAACTATCATGGTAACCAGAAATGATGTTTCATCGCCAAAATTTAAAACAATTTTGTCGCTAATCAAAGGGGAACCCAATTCTACACTAGAGACAAAATATTTATTTTATAACTTCAGCATGCCATCTTACTATATTTGAACTAACGATCTAAAATTCAGAAATTTCCAAAATATGGAATCGCTGAAGTCCTGACAATTCCAAATGTTAAACTTTGTACTGTATTACGCATTTTTAAATTCAATACAATATAAATTCTCTTTCTGCACAAAAATGCAGAGAGCATTAAGTAAAACATATATGAAAATATTACATTAATTAGGGGTAAATTTGGATTGATTAATTAGGGGAAAATTTGTTCCCATTCAAGGACTGGCTTGAATGGGAACAGAGAGAGTTTGAACCTTGATTTTCTGCAACATACTTTTTAGCACATTCTGTTTTCAGGCCAAATGAAATACCTGAAATCAATACTGATTTCTTAAAAATAAAAACTACAGATTGAACATGTTTACATGCTACTCAAGCATACGAATCACATACTGAATTTCAATTTATACTACATATTCTGTTTTTAGAGAAAAACGCTGAGCGCATTTTAATTAAAGAATCCAACTTCTCTGCTTGTACCACAAGAATGACGTTACATTTTATTTCTTTTACTATAATTAAATGCTGAAAAAATATATGTTCTTTTGTAGTATCACATACATAATTAGATTTTTGTCGCGATAAATGCTTTAACAAATAATTGTTTTTGAAAATTAAAGCATGTCTTTGAGTATCAAATATGACATGTTCAACCACACGAAATAATGTTTTAGTCACCAAAAAGAATAATTTTTTTTCCCTTACCTGTCAATTTCAGCCAAGATCTCCAACTCTTCAGGAGTTAATGATATACCAGTGGCATGACTTAAATCGTCTCCCGCGTCTTCAGTTATCATTCTTACAATGCACAAAAACAGACATACATCAGCTAATGAAATTCCACACACCTTTAAACAGTTAAAGACTTTTCCATATTTACACGGCAAGCAGTAAGCTTGTATCTATCAATGCACACAGATTCAAAACATGAAGAATTACTTAAAATAACAGTATAACTGTATGCTTTTTGAACGGTTTAACCTACAAATCTTTGTTAGCTCTTCCCTATAATAACGTCAGCTAGTAATTTTAAATGATATCTGATTATAATGGAGAAAGTAAACAAACAGAATCACGCAAGACCTTTTTTAAAATCGGAGAACTCATCCACCGTCTAAATGAGCAGCGAAACATAAATGGGAGGAGTTACGAGATTAGGGTTGTAGGAAGATCTAACTATAGTAGCGTCTAGCCCAAGCATTGTTTATGTTTAACGCATGCGCAATCGGCATATTTTCAGCATGGTAACCTTGAACGACACCACCCGTGCAATTAGCCGCTTAAGCTATTCCCACCAACATTTACCACGCATGCGCATTCAGTTGTCAAAGTCGGGTTTCTACCTTGACGTAGTTTATCATTTTTTAAGCGTTGTTTTGTTTTGTTGTTTTAAGCAAAAGTTTAGAAAGGAAAATGGGTTCCTTTTCTTATAAAAAGAAGGAACACATTTCCTTTTATTAAAGTATATATAAAAAATCTGATGTGTACACCACATGACTTCCTTGTACGGAATATTAAATTATACGCATTTTACTTGCATTTCATTTAAACTTATTGGATTGAAATAAATCTACTTCGCCGACAGCGCATAAACCACAATAGAATAAATGCATTCTTTAAAATGCACTCTAGTATTTGTTTACCATAGCGACACTCTGGCGCTAGATTAACTTTAACAGTATTTATTATATTTCGTTCATATTATAACTCAGAATGCACAAAATTTATATCATTTAAAGAATAGAATTATCTAATCGTTGCCACATGTTCTATTCAAATACTATAATAAAGCTAGAATGATGTATAAAAGAAATTAAGCAAACAAAACAAAAAAGAACCGTTTTTCACAGACGATTGAGTATTTCTCATTCAATTAATTCAGTTCTCACTTCGCGAGAAGGCAAAAACACATGAAAACTCAAAATATCTATATTAAAAATTACGAAGTAAATCTTAAACACTTAATTCCTCGAAAAAATTCCACAAAGGATTAAGCATGATTTCATTGGCATAAATGAAGCAACATAAAATAAATAACGCAACATAAATGAAGGCGTTATTTTTGTTGTTGCGAAGCTAAGTTTCTCTAGATTGGCAACAAATCCACTAACCTGCTGTTTCAAATGTAAAAAATCAATGGCCGCCATTAAAAAATCAATGGCCGCCATTAAAAAAAAAGGCTTAGCGGCAATTAAACATCTTTAAAATTGTTGATAATTCTAAAAGATATTGCATATAGATTTACTAAAGACATAAAAACCTTAACCGGAAACAAGAACAACATAATTCAATCATTTTTAAAGTAAAAAATACAAACATATAAGAGTAAAGAAACTGAGATCACTGAGCCGGGTAACAGAGTGGATATATATATAAATATATTTATATACGTTTTGGTGCGGCCGATTGCAACCAAAATACGAGGTGCACATCTGCATGTTATAGCAGTCCTATATACAAAATTTCAACGTTCTGAGGCTACTCGTTTTTGAGTTATGCGAGATACGTACGCACGTACGTACATACGCTCGTACAGACGCCAGGAAAAATTCTCTTCAGAATTAATTTTAAAGCAGTTTTATAATTTTTTGGAGGAAACTAGTCATTTATTCTGTTTTTACATACAGATATCACGGGAAAACATCGTTAAATTGCATTCGATAGCGGTCAAAATGGATATTTTCGTTGAAATATGCTGCCTGAAACTTTTAGTGATTACAATACTTCCTTTTTACTTCGTACAAGGAAGTAAAAAGGGCAGATTTTTATGTTCGCAATGTTTATCCTTTTCCTGAACGGTTTGAATAGTTTAAATGACTAATTTGAAAAGGGGGGAACAAAATCGCGTTGACATTTTTTGTACTTCTAATTAGAATACATTTAGCTTTAAAGATGTGTTTTGCTCAATCAAGCCATAATTCATTGGTCTTTGAAAAATTTCGTCCGAGAAAAGATACTAAAAATTCGACAGCGGATTTCTGTGTAGAAAATTTAGACATGAAATAAGTTAAAAGCAATTACATGAACTATTAAATGAATTATTCTGTATGCCTGCTTATTTTTTTATGGAAATACTTGGCATTTTCAGGACACAAAAAGTGCTTCAAAGAACTTTGAAATATTAGTACAAACACATTAATCAATTAAATTGAAATAAATAATGGGATGTAATTTAAAAGACAGAAATAATTTAATGTAAGAGATTTAGATTTAAAAATTTGCACACGCAAATGATTTATCAGATTTTATACGGTTTTTATTTCATAAATAACTTTGATATTGAATATGGCATTTTAACTTATAACATGAGTGGATACTGAAAACGTGATGAATATGTAAGAATATTATAATTTTAACTAAGTTTACTTATTGAATAATAAATTCTGACAGTCTAATGCTATAAAACTAGGGTCTAAGTTTGCATAAAAATTCCTCTGTTAAATAAAAGAATTTAAGTAATTTCTGTAGCCTTTTTGTCAGTACACTATAGATTTTTTAACTAATTATTTGTCCTCGCTTGCAATTAGAACCATCATTAAATCCCTATTTTATCTAATCATTTCCTGAACATTATCATGTATATACATTGACTTCGTCTTTGAAACTGATAATTATTACTTGCAAATACTGATAATTATTACTCTTACTGGTGAACAATTAACAACCCTTTCTATTAATTCAGAAGTCAAACAACAAAAATCAGCGTTATATTTACAAAATTTTCACAGGACTAGTTTCGATGGTTTTACCGAACCACCATCCTCAGCTGCAAAACCGTAAATGAACAAGATAGCAAATAATGATTAGATAAGATAAGAAAGCCTTTACAAGAATAAGCAAGTGGCGCCATCTGTTCGCGAAACTAGAACTAAAACATAATTTCTTTAAAAGCCGATGGCAAATTTGGATTGGAATTAGGATCGTTAACTAGAACAGAAAGATTTTTATGAATCTGAAATGCCTCTAGAAAATCCAGTTCTCCAATGGAAGATGTTTTTTGAATAATTTTGGCAGCAGAAAAATTGAAAGTGTTATTTTCGGACCAACAGTGTTGAGCAACGGAAGACATCTGTGTTTCCTTTTTTCTAACATATGTCTCATGTTCTTTGACGCGAAATTTTAAGGCTCTCTTAGTTTGGCCAATGTAAATTAAACCACACTGACAAGGAATCCTATAAATACCCCAGGAATTCATATCCGGAATGGGGTCCTTGAGTATGGAAGTAGAATTTTATTGATGGGAGAATAAACAACCCGAAAGTTAAATTTCTGCAAAATATGTGCAACTTTATAGCTAATTGATGGAAAGAAGGGAATGACAACAGAATTTTTATCATCTCCTAAAATAAGAGTGTGGCTTTTAGTGTGTTGAGATGAGAATTTTTTTTAACTGCTTGATTAATAATGTTGGGTGAAAAGCCCCTAACAATAGCTATTGCTTTTAAATAATTTAGTTCTTCATCAAGGCCAGTTTGGAGGAGCACGGAAAACATAGGAAAAAAATGAAGCTAACTTTTGTTTAGTCGGATGATATGATTTAAAGTGGTGGAAGGCAAACCAATTTACAATAAGGCAATAAGGTTTACGGTAAACCGTAGTACTGAAGTTGGATGTGTTACGTGTGACCGGAATGCCGAGAAACGGAAGAGAATTGCAAGTCTCAAGTTCAAAAGTGAACTGAATAGCAGGATCAATAGAATTCATTGTTGAAAGAACTTTATTTAAATCATATTTATTACCTTCAAACAGGGTAAAAGTATCGTCTACTTAGCGGAAGGATGCCGGGACGTTTAAAGTTTCAAACAATTTTGATTCATAATAATGCATGTAGATATCAGCCAGGATGGGACTGAGGGGCTTCCCGTGGCTAATCACTCAGTTTGCTTGTAATATTTATTTTGGAAAACAGAATGTGTTTTTTTCAAACAGAGTTGAGTGAAAGAAATTAGCTCATCAATTTCGATGCAAGAGAAATGAAATTCGCGAAGTCTGGTTTCTAGACATCTTAATGCACCCTCCACTGGGACATTGGTGAATAATGGTTTTACATCAAAAGAAACCATGAGTAAATTACTAGGAGAAATGTTTTTAACCCTTTTTTACAAACTCTATTGAATTTTTTATGGTGTAAATGTTATTGTCTAATAGAGTGGAAAATCTAGAAACTAAATATTTAGCTAATGGATACGAGGCAGTACCTAAATTTGATACAATAGGGCGGAAAGGAATACCACTTTTATGAATTTTGGGAAGAGCATATAATCTGGCACAATTCGCAACAGATGGGATAAGCGAATGTTTAAAGTTGCTTGAAATGATTTGCGAAGATTTGATCGCAGTTTTTATTTTGGACAAGTCCGAAGGTGAAGGATCCTTAGGGATCAGATGATATGGTCCTTCGTTTAAGAGTTTAGTGACACCATCGATGTAAGTGTTCTTACCCATGACGACTATCAGGCCTCCTTTGTCGGCCTTTGAAATGATAATATCCGGGTTAGAATGAATTTCGCGCATTGTAGCTCTTTCTCTGGCAGTTAGATTTGGTTTCAAAGGTTTATTATTGAATTTCACATTATGAGCGATAAGATGCCTAATCATTTCTTTCTGTGAATCTGAAACTTTACTGAACTTGAAAGCTTTTTCGATAGGAGCTAAAATCTTTGGAATCGAGGGTTTACAGGTTTGTGAGAAGTTAAAATTATATTTTAGAATTCTCTCTTGTTCTTCTGAAAGACTAACATTAGAAATATTAACTATTGGCTTGATGTTTACAATGGGAAGATTTTTTGAACTACTTTAACTGGAAGACTGTAAAAGAAGTTTTTCGAATTTAACTGCAAGGGTGTTTTTATGACGGTTAACTGCATTCTCCGTTCTAGAACAAGACTTTTGTTCAAGGGCAGTGAATTTTGAATATGATTTATCGAGTTCCAGATTAAGCTTATAGAGTTCATGTTCAATTTTGGACAATTGTTGACGTGTATCTCTTATCACGGAACGAAGTAAGGCAAGCTTGCAATTTAACAGAATTCTTGAAACGCGACTCGAAGGTTTTTGATTAGATTTGATTTGATTAAAATTGCTGATAAATTTTTTACATTTACATTTAAGTAAAAAGTCAAAATGATTCAGGAATTTTTGCCGTTTCAAGCGTAATTTAGTAAACGATTAACGGATGAAGGCATGATAAACAATGCAGAAAATCAAACTAAATTAACTGAGCAATAATAAAGTACACACAAAACAGCAGAAAAATCCCTCACTGAAATGAATAGAAAACAAAACGTTTGTAAGCAAAATGCATGAAATCAGACAAGCAAAGCACAATATACAAATATACAAAACATAAACATAACTTGAAAATTGCAAAAAAAGTACTCACCGAAACTCATGCAATTACAAAATGGCGACCACACCACGGCCACTTTTACCCTGTTTGAAGGTAATAAAGATGATTTAAAATTAAGTTCTTTCAACAATGAATTCTATTGATCCTGCTATTCAGTTCACTTTTGAACTTGAGACTTGCAATTCTCTTCCGTTTCTCGACATTCTGGTAGTACTGAAGTTGGATGTGTTACGTGTGACCAGAATTACTGTAAACCTTCATCGGTTTGCCTTCCACCACACTTTAAGTCATGTCATCCGACTAAACAAAAGTTAGCTTCATTTTATTTCTATGTTTTACGTGCTCTTCAAGTTTGCTCCTCCAAACTAGCCCTTGATGAAGAACTAAATTATTTAAAAGCAACAGCTACTGACAGGGGCTTTTCACCCAACATTATTAATCCATCAGTTAAAAAATTCTTATCTCAACACACTAAAAGCCACACTCTTGTTTTCGGAGATGATAAAAATTCTGCTGTCATGCCCTTCTTTCCATCAATTAGCTATAAAGTTGCACATATTTTGCAGAAATTTAACTTTCGGGTTGTTTATTCTCCCATCAATAAAATTCCGACTTCCATACTCAAGGACCCCATTCCGGATATGAATTCCTGGGGTATTTATAAGATTCCTTGTCAGTGTGGTTTAATTTACATTGGCCAAACTAAGAGAGCCTTAAAATTTCGCGTCAAAGAACATGAGACATATGTTAGAAAAAAGGAAACACAGAAGTCTTCTGTTGCTCAACATTGTTGGTCCGAAAATCACACTTTCAATTTTTCTGCTGCCAAAATTATTCAAAAAACATCTTCCATTGGAGAACTGGATTTTCTAGAGGCATTTCACATTCATAAAAATCTTTCTGTTCTAGTTAAGGATCCTAATTCCAATCCAAATTTGCCTTCGGCTTTTAAAGAAATTATGTTTTAGTTCTAGTTTCGCCAAAAGATGGCGCCACTTGCTTATTCTTGTCCAGGCTTTCTTATCTTATCTAATCATTATTTCCTATCTTGTTCATTTACGGTTTTGCAGCTGAGGATGGTGGTTCGGTGAAACCATCGAAACTAGTCCTGTGAAAATTTTGTAAATATAACGCTGATTTTTGTTGTTTGACTTCCGAATTAGTATTTATTCGGCGTGTTATTGTGTCTTAACCCTTTCTATTGCTGAGTTAGGGTTAACAATCTTCGTTGTCACTACCGCCTGCCTTGTACTTGGGCTGCTTGTGCGCATGCGCGAAAGTAGGTTGTGTGAATAGCCTGTTAGTTACTCGCACCGTCGGTGCGATTAGCCACTGCGGGTAACCTTCCTCACACAATTCACGATTCAGTCTTCAGCGATGCACAAGATAAGTTCTGCGGAATGTGTGAAATTTGTTCACTTTGATCTCTGTGTTGCGTCGATTTTTACAAGCACAAAGTAACAAGTCAAAGAACTGCACGAACTCGGTATCCATGTACACATCGAAGTATTTTCAGTTAAAAAAAGCCCACCAGCGGCCGAGCGGTAAAGTCGCTGAACACTGGTAGTTCGGTCCGAGGTTCGAATCCCGCGAACGGGCTGGCTGCATGGGTGTTTTCGTGGTTTTCCCCGTGTGTAACGTGTATACGAGCCAGTTTCCCTTAGAAAGTCCTCCACGAAGGCATCCCTCCTCTTAGGCAGATAGCCCTCGAGGCTTTGCCCTAATCACACACACTCAGTTAAAAAAAATTAGAGAATTGCACAAACTTAACATTGCGCACTCCTTTGACTTTACCCATGTACACGTCGACCTATATTCACTTAAAAAGGTCAAAGGTGCAGCCATATATATATATATCTATATATATAATCCTAATATACTACATTTTAAATAAAACAAAGGAATTACAAAAAAAAGGGAGGAATTCATCTTAGCACTACACAAAGGAAATATATACACTCACCTTATTTACAAATTTCCCTGTCTTCACTCAAACAGAATTCCTTAACAGCCTCCAAAAACTTACTAAAATTATCTGAACTAAAATCTGTATATCGGCGTCGTCACATAAATTCAGAAAAATAAGAGTCCCAATATCCTCCACAGTGCCAGTATCCTCCGACGTTCGATCACACGCATTTTTGCTTTCTAGAAACAGGTCACTTAATAATGGCTACTAAGAAAACCTTCATTTACACACCAGTCAATATATGCTTTTTTGCCCTTTCGTTCCACACACAGTTACAGACAGATCGTATTTTATTCTCGAGTGTCAAGATGTAGAAACATCTTTTTACTCGCCTTCTGATAAGGATCAGGTGGGAGGAGAAAGAGTAGGGTGGAAGGAAGTGTGGGAGGCGGAAAAAAGAGAGTCAGGTCCGCACTAGCGGTGGCGAAAAAAAAAGGGGGGTGGCAAGCTCAGTGTCGTTATAAGATGTAGCCGCGGGTTGTAAACAGTTGTCAAGTCAGTTTAGCGTGAATGAGTCAATTAGAGGAGCCTTATGTCGAGTAGATCGCAAAAAACGACCCGTTCTTCTATCTCGACGGTGTCCAGACTAGGGCCCTTAGTAAGTATGGCGGTGTCATTGACAAAGAGTGCAAGATGAACAGAAGGGTCTTTAGGGATGTCTTGTGTATAAATATTAAAAAGGTACGGCGAAAGTGGCCCCTGTGGATCACCAGCATTGATTACTCTGGTGGTTGTTTTACCGATTTTGATTCTGAATGTTCTGAGAAAAGAGGCTATTAAGCGAATAAAATGATCTGGAAAATTGAGAGTGATTAGTTTGTAAATAAGGCCTCGATGCCATACCCTGTTTCGTTCAAAATCGTACACACACAGTTATAATAGTCCGGTGTTTGAACCACTCGAAGAAGCTTTGCTTTCCTTTTTACGTAACCTGCTCGATTCTTCGCCGTATGGCAGAAAGACTTTTTGGGTGCAAAATAAAACATCTGTATTTTGTTTGTGTGTCTGCTGATGAAGTTCGAGAGTTTTTTGGCGCATATGATTTGAATCTGAACTTTTGTTTCAAGAGTGTGACTCTCCCTTGGGAGTGTTTTCCGTCAGAGTCATAATGAATATCCATAGCTATTCGAAACGGATGCTACACAAGGCACTATTTAGTGTTCTTTCAAGTAAATATAGACGTTTAGCTTCCTATGATAACAGATTTGAAAAAGAGGAGACAAAAAGAACTAATAAAGCTAAAATAGGACTAGCAGTTGGGATAGGTTTAATTTACTATAAATTCCTTCACGAGCGAACTATGTCACTTGATTTTAGTAAGTTCCTTCAGCAGTTCAGTATTCAAGTACATGCTGCAGAATTATTTCCTTCGGATCGTACTGAAGGCGCTAAAAAAGTGACGCCAAGAGGAGCATACAATTTTTTAGCTGATGTTGCGGAGAAAACATCAGCCGCTGTTGTTTATATTGAAATCACAGCAAGGTAAAGATGTAAATATTTTTGTTGCTCAAACATATACAACATGTGAAATTAAACTAATACTTATCCTTTGAAGGTGCAAATTCATAAATCATGTTTTGCTAATAAAGAACTTTTATGGGATTTTGAATGAGGGTTTTCCTCCGCAAAGGATCCGTTGGCGCCGGTACGTATGTATTCGCCAACGGCTAATCGGCCATGAATTTAGCGGTGTATAGTTAAGTTGCAAGATATTTATCATATGGAAGGCAGGATTTTAGCTGTGTACAGTCAATTTATAAGATATTTAGCATATAGAAGTAAAATAAATAAGTTAATAATGATATTTAGCGGTGTATAGTTAACCCGGGAGGACGCACACTGTATTATGTAACACGATAACGCACGTCGCAAATAAATGACATACAAATGAAACATATTACAATTCAGTAAAATAATGAATTCTGTATTAATTACAACATTTATTATATAAAATAGCTTAAAAATAATTTTCATTTTAAAATTAATAACAAATAAATTCAAAGTACTTAAACGTTTTCATCAGATGACTAGGAATCATTGATTTCTATGAGAAATGTGTGTTTTTTATTTTTGAATGCAATTATAATCCATATTAATCAGAATTGTTACATGGACAATGAGTTATATAATTTTCAAATCAATTAGGCTCAAGAAGAATTAGATACTTTGTAGTTTATACATGAAGCTTCTATTTCACAGTGTTCTTGACATATATTTTTTTTACACTTCATATAGTTTTTGATTTTCTGTCTTTTTCCCTTGAGCACATGTAACATCTCTGGTAACATAATTTTCTTAACTTTGTTTGTGAATCTTCAAGAGTATCTCCGTTGTATTCCTTCTGTTTCTGTCATGATTTCAAATGAGGAACTAAAAGTGCAAAGGCCAAATCAGAAGTGCCTCCTATTCCTGAACTTCTCTGGTGGAGTTTTAGTAGATAAAAACCAGATCATTGAATTTATGCCGGCAATATTTAATAGCGAAAAAATATGCCCATAGGCCATCGGTTTGATATTCTGGCTGCAGAATAAGTGCCACCCATCCTGTCGACTGTATCAACTGCTCCTTTTGTCATGTTATATAACGTAATTACTTCAGATTTCTTCAAATCTCCCGAGCTTTCATCAATATGGTCATCATTGTGCATATTTGACAAAAGGTCATTTGTTCTTTTTAGCCATCTAAAGAAAGTATCATTATATCCTTTTGAAACCCCAAGATGGTTGCATGCTGTTCTCTATTCTTATTCGACACAAATTCAGGTGGGATAATCTTCTTATCCTTGCATATTGTTCCAACGATAGAAATTTTATTTTTCTGTAAGAAATTGGCCAATTCATAACTGGTATACCAACTGTCTGTGGTAGCGTTTCTTCCAGAATTGTCTAATGGAGCTAGGATGCGCTTTGCTTTTTCACAACAACTGTTGACTTTCTTATATGGTCCATCTGGCTGCAGACCTGAGTAAATTTCCATGTTGAAAGTATAGAAGATTCTAAAATCAACCACAGTAAATATCTTTATACCATATCTTGCAGGTTTTTTAGGCATATACTGCTGAAAGGAGCATCATCCTCGAAAAGGTTCTTGCTTTTCATCCAAAGTCATGTATTCAATATAATTTCTGACAGTTCTTGACAAAATTTTCTGGAACTAATTTATCACTCTTTCTTCTGCCATTCCGTGTTCCGACATCATCGAATCATAAGGCACGAAGAATGAAAAGAAAGTGCTTATAGTTCATTTGTTTTATGAAAAATATCCAATCCTGCTCCATCAGTCGCCCATAATTCTCTAACATTTACATGGGAGGATTTGTGCAATCCAGCTATGTATAAGAGTCCTAAAAAAGCAAGAAACTCTTCTTTCTCCATAGGTTTTTGGGTTTCTTTTAAAATTTCTGGAAATATTTTTTATATAAATATTAGAGCATCTCGCAATCATTTAAATCATTGTGTCATCAAATATTAGCTTCCATGCATCGATAGGTGAAGCCACATCTTTAGATATATGTGTATTGCCAGGCAATTTTTTTTATGATATTATGGGAAGCCATGCATCTTTGAATTCGAAAGAGTTTTTTCTTCCATTTTGTTGTTTTATCTTTTTGTACAAAATAGTCACTTTGATCACAAGGAATGTCTTTTGAAGTGTCGCACTCTTTTTCTGATTCAGACGTATGATCACTAAATAGATCTTCATTATCTGAATCTTGTAAGAAAGTCCATCTCTGAAAAGATGTTTGGAAATTTATACAGAAATGAATGTATCCGAAAAATTTATCCTTAAAATGGACATAATTCAATGCTCTAATGTATTGCACTAATGTGTACAAGATTAGTGCAATTTAGAATATCCAAAGTGTGAATGGAAAAAGCAATATTCTCATTTCCATTTATGAAATAACCAATGTTGTTGACAGATTAATATGTACCCTAGGATAATTCCAGTTTCATGATATCATTGAAATTATTTCTTCTTATAACAGATGTGGGAAAAACCAGCAGTTCCAGTAGTTTAGACTTTGCATCAGGCTTGATGAAATTAAACATGATAAAATAATTTTCTTCTGAATGGTGCAGCCAATATGTATGAAAAAGGCAGATGAAACACTTCTAAAAATGTTGTATATGAAATGATTCGTAAATGCTTTGCGTGAAAAGTTCATGAATTGTTGCCAGACGTTGACAAACCTATTTGTATTCTACGAAAGATATTTTGGCTGATCTTTGGAATATGGTAACTGGTAGTTTGGCGACATTTTGGAGGCGATAAAGGTTACTACCTAGGACTTTGGTAATGATGTGAGAAGCACTCAGTTCCGATTATGCATTATTTTGTGTGAGGGAAATGCGAGATCATGAGATATGTCATGTGACATTAATGGACGAATTACAGTTGTTTAATCGGAAAAGGGGGGAAATCTGGAAATTTCGTATTTAGCTATATTCTGTGTTGTGTGAAACGTGACATTAATGGATGAATTACAGTTCTTTAATCGGAAAAGGAGGTTAATTTGGAAAAGCTTCATTGTGTGTTGTGTGAAATAGTGTTGATAAATTTTCGGATTGCATGGCGCTATGTAAAGTGAATTGTAAATTTTTAATGTGTTTATCTGATAATAATAATAAGTTGAGATTGTGTGAAGGAAGGATATTACAAGTTTAAATGGCGTGCAAGAAATATGGTGAAAATGGACATTTTGTGAAACGGAGTGTAATGAAGGGTACGTGGTTTGCTGAAAGTCGTTTGAGTATGGTGAAATTTTATTAATTTCTTATACTTGGTGAATAGACTTCCAGTTGACTACTGGATTTAGGATTTAGAAATTAGCAGTAGTACTGCAGCGACGTAATGAAGGTTAGAAGAAGATTATGTAAGTTAGTATTTTTAATCATTTGAGGATATTATTTTATGCTTGTTCTAAATGTAAGGAGTAAGTAATTAAAATGGTATTTTGAAATTGTTATTAGCAATGATTTAGTTTAAAGTAATTAGGATTGTAATCTATTTTATTAATTTTATGTATGTGCTTATTTATATTTGAAGTAGTGTTTTTGAATTTAATTATATTTTAATTTAATGATCGTGATTTTGTGAGTTATATGTTTGTAGTATTTCGGAATATGTTTGAGTAGTATACCTTGAGTATTTTCATGCATTTTTGTGAAATTTTTCTAATTTATGAGAAAAAAGCAGTGTACATGGATATAGTGAAGTGTGTGCACAATACCATTTTTGTGCTATTCTGGGATGTTTTTTTAAGTAAAAATAAGTCGACGTGTACATGGTTTAGTGATATTTTAATTAAATGATAGTTATTTTGTGAATTTTATGTTTGTGGGAATTTGGTTGGCGTTTTTTAGTTGAAGTAAACGTGCATGGAAATAATTTAAATATTTGACACTAAGTATTTGTATGTTTGCGGTATGAATTCATTGGTTGACGTTTATAATATAGATAATTTAGAGTAAAAGTTTTGGATATTTTATTTATTTTATACTTGGAAATGTTCATATTTGGAAAGGGTATATACTTTTCGCGAAAGGTATTCATATATGTTCTTTTTACCGGGTTTAAAGATTCAGAAAATTGTCATGCATTTTCGTGAAATTTTGTTCTAATTGAAAAAAAAGCAGTGTAACATGGATATAGTGAAGAGTGTGCGGAATGCCCTTTTTGTGCAATTCTGGGATGTTTTTTTAAGTAAAAATAAGTCGACGTGTACATGGTTTATTTGTATGTGTTATTGTGAAAAACGCGCAAGGAGTTTGCGATTGTGCACTTTTTCCCAATTTTGCAGTGAATATTTGTTATGATTAAGCAGTTTTGTTAGATAAAATTTCTAGTATAAGTGTAATTTGGCTAGTAAAAAAGAAAAGAAACATCTCTTTACTTTGTGAAGACAAAATGGCGGCGGGAAAAAAAAAATAGAGTGTTGCTGTAGCAGAGTTGGTCGCCAAATTTTCGCCAAGAAATCGCCAAGTTACCATAATCCAAAGACCAACCAATATTTTTAAATCTCTGTTATAGTGAGAGTCTTTGGAGAGACTGCAGCTGATATATTAGTTTTGACAAAGTGGGTAACATGGTCAAATTTGGAGTGGTAACAGGGTCAAATTGTAGTGGGGAACAAGATCAAATTGGATTAACATGGTCATGGAGATTGTTATTATGCCAAGCAGTAATAACTTTAGGGGGCATGACGGTGTGATGGCCCAAGATACTGAATACTGAAAATTCAAACTTGTTTCAAACTACCAGTATTCAGCAATTGTATTGCTCAGCTGCTTGTGAACTTGGAACAAAAGTATGAATATCTTGTTAGTGAAACCCATGACGTAAGAAAATCGGGAAAATTTATAACGCTTTCAAGATTAGAACATAATCGATTTTGTTATGAATCCCATGGTTTTGACATGTTTTAAATATACTCCTGCCACACGGATAGAAGCTGAATGATCATTGTCCTGCTTACAACACATATAACATGTCAATGTAGAATCTGAAGGAAAGTTTAGGTTATTTGAATATGGCAAAGAATACCGGCTATCGACTTGAAGAATGATGCCTTTTTGAACAACTTTCTAAGGGAACTGGCTTGTATTTGCATTACATATGAAGAAAACTAGAAAAATCAACTTTGCAGCCCTTTAACCATGATATGAAACCAGATCAAACTACCAGTATTCAATGGTCTTAACCAGTTGTAGGAAAAATCTGAAGAAAAAGCTTGCAATATCATGTAATCAGAAATTAACTATGTGTTCAATATCATGCAATCAGAAATTAACTATGTGTTGCATAGCAGGATTACTTTTTTAAGTGTCAAGGTAGAGAATACTTTTTTTTTTTTTTTGTTTTTGTTTTGTTGTTGTTTCTTTTTCTTTATATAGGTTGGCCATGGTATTCATTACATTTATTCTCTGTCATTCATACAGAATACTAATATTTTTAGTAAAAAATGTCTTTTTCATTAAGGGCTTTGCTTGTCGATATTCTCAAAACTATGTTTAATAATTAATTAATTAATGGATTCATTTACTAATCCACAAATCCAAAATAAGACAAAGAATTGCACAAACTAGGTATCCATGTACACATCGACCTATTTTCACTTAAAGAAACATCCTAGAATTGGACAAACTTATTGCACACTCCCTTGACCTTTATTCATATACACGTCGGTCCATTTTCACTTAAAAAGTCAAAGAAGCAGCCAATTCTACATTAAAGCCAAACAAAAAATATATAATCTCAATAAACTACATTTTAAATCAAACAATGAAATAACATAAAAAAGGAAATTCGTCTTAGCACTACACAAAGGAAATACGCACTTACCTTATTTACATCTTCCCTGTCTTCAGTCAAACAAAATTTCTTAACAGCCTCCAAAAACTTCCTAAAATTATCTGAATTAGAATCTATATACTGGGATTGCCATATAAATTCACAAAGATAAGCGTCTAAAATAACCTCCGATGTTTGACCATATGCATTTCCTTCCAATAAACAGGAAACTTATAATGGCTACTAAGTAAACCTTCATTTACATACCAGTCAATGCTCTTTTCCCCTTTCATTCCAAACAGTATAGAAACTTTAAATTAATCTTACCACATTGAGCTGTTTTACCGTCTAAACCACAAAACAGCAAAGTACTTCCTAACCAACATGCAACACAAGCCCTTACAAATCTTTTCCCATCATTCAAATTCACCACAATCATTCAACCAATTATCTCATAGTATGGTTTCCATAACATTCAACTACTTGGGTTGCCATAAATGAAACAACAACTTCATGATAACATAAGAGGCACACTTAAATCTGCTCTAACCCAATGGAGTATTAAGAAATCGCCCTTTCAGATTGCTTTCATAGTTATCAGTTGTTTGGCATTGAATTCAACTCCTGATTATCCAGATTCAGATTAACTGTGCCTTGTGTTAAAAAAAAAAAAAAAAAAAAAAAAGTTGAATTTGTTTATTACAGAATGGTGGAAAAATTGCTATTTCAAACCATGAACGTGAAATAAAGCTGTCTTAGTTTCTGGGAGTCATTTTTATCCAGATAGACATAATTTGATTGCATAATCCGAATTATGTAAATATTGTAAAATCATCTGTTAGAAGTAAATTTCTCAGTCTTAAAAATAAATCAAGTGTGCAGTATTAACCTTTAGTTTCACACTGACTTCTATCAAAACACAAGAGTAATACAGACAAAAACAAACAGTATGTGTGCCACGATGTGAGGAAGGAACGTAAATAGGAAGGAAAAAAGAAAAAGGATGCACATGTTTGAGGCAACTGTGAATCTTATATCAGTTTACATAGCCAAATGGACTTATTTTCCAAATTAAACTGCTTGAAAATTCGGATAAAATGTTAATAGTATTTATTTATTAATTAAAAGTTACATTATTCCCTCACATACTTCACCCCTTTTCCTACTAATTTTACCATTTGGAGACTGGAGAGAAAAATATATGCTGAATGCTATTTCTGAAGAGAGCTTAAATGATAAACAAAGTACATTGCAAAGCACACATAAATACATGCTGGTGTTATAATACATATTTCAAAGGACTTGTAAATTTCAATATTTTTTTTTTTTTTTTTTTACTTATACAAATGATTTTCCTACTTTTGCATACATTTTATATTGCTACCATAAATCAGAAGTTTCTAAATCAGATGCTGAAAAAGCTAAGGAAAAAAAATATGCAAGGGAGAGAAATATGTGAGTAAATATGATATTCCTTTTTCTTGCATTTTTTTAACTTATGATTAACGATGAGCATCTTGCTAGTTAGTCAAAAGTTGACTGTAGTTTCATTTTACTCCTATATCTTTGTTACTTTGTGTTGATCTTAAGCAGATCCAAATAGTGTTCTGTCTGAAATAATTTTGGTTATTGATGTGAAAATTATTTTTTAATCTGATTTTAAATCAGGTATCTTAAGCAAGTTAATTTTTTTTGTTGTTGTTTTTAATCTCTAAATTTAATTTATCTGTATATTAAGTGGCTGTAAAATGCAGATTTTTTTTTGATACTTTATAGACATCCAGTAACAAGAAAAAGCATCCCACTGTCAAATGGTTCAGGATTCATTGTAAAATCAGATGGTTTAATTTTAACTAATGCTCATGTGGTTTCACATTATGGACGTGTCATTGTAAAGCTATATAATGGAGAAGAGTATGAGGGAGTTGTAGAGAATATTGATACAGAAACGGATCTTGCTACAGTGCGAATCAAAGCGGTAAGCATTTATTCTTTTGTTCATTAAGTTGCTATTATTGTCGATGATTTTCCAGTTTCGTTTTCAAACATCATCTCTGACTTCTCTGACTTAACACAATTCATAGAGTTTTTTTATAATGGTTTTTAATAGTTATTTTATTTCAATTTCAGAAAGTAGTACAATTTCACAAAATAATTTAATAATGAAATCTTAAAATTTATTTAATCCATTTATATGTAAAAAGCCACTTTATTAAGAAAGCCTGGGGATCCTAGGCATAGCCTCTATTTTTCATGAACCTCTAAGTCACTTTATCTATCTGAAAGAAAAAATAGATTATAAGAAATTACAGCATGATTTGGGTTAAAATTGGTGAAAATTAGTTATTCAAAGATAATTAGAGTTTAATTCTTATGATGCTTGTCATTCAGTGAGTTGTTGGATTTTTGTATGTTCAGAATCTGTCTCCTTCTTATACATACCTAATCAGTTGCCCCGTGCCAGTTCAATAGTGTTACAAACTGTAGAATAAGCACACATTTCTTTTATTTACTTTTCAAAATACATGGTTTAATTTAGTGATCACAAATATTCATCAGTATGATTCACCATAAACGGAAATAATGGACAGAATAAAGGAATTTTCACAAGATGCTTCATCCTTAAATTATATGTATTGCCATTATATGTAAATATTGTAAGATTCATATAGCCAGAAAAAGGATACTATAATGAAATATGTGTCATGCACAGGTGGCTAAAACCTGCCAGGAACTGAAGAAATTCAACCTAACAGAATAAGCCATTGCCAGAGACTGTTTTTGGAAACCAATTTTTTATGCCAACAATTAAAGGGTTTCTTTTAAATCCATTTTCCACTCATGTGTCTCTTTTCATATCTTTCCTGATACTATTTTTTTGTTTAAATTTGTAATAATTTTCTAACTTTTATTTTTATAAAAGGCAACAGAGTGAATATGAAAAATTTGGAGGATTCTCATGCAAAACGTGTAATAAAATTATAAGGCCCATCCAAAAGTGTACTAGTGAATCACCTGTATCTTCTTTATGGTGTTATAACTCAAAAAAAAAAAAAAAAAAAAAAAAAAAAACCCGAAAATGATTTGCTGTGTAGAACATTCAGTTTCATTTTGTAGTACTGAAAATTACAGAGAGCATTTATTTTCTGATCACCAATTAACGAATGTACGTGAAAAAGGCTTTCTAAAGTTTCTCTGTGCAAAAGATTTGTTGGTTTTTCTTTTTTTTAATATTAAGTACTGAAATTTTGTGAATATTTTGTGCCCACGAGCCTATATTTTTTTCAGAAAGTTCCTAAACACTAATAAATTATAATATGATGTTTTAATTTTTTCTAAAATGTATTGTATTTTCATATGTTTGGTTTTGAAGGTGTTTAACACATTCAATAAAGGAATAGTAAAAATGTCGGTAAAAGTATATTTTCAGGTACCCCTTGGCGAAACTTGGTGATTTTTGGTGGTACAAGGATACCGAGTTTGTGCAATTCTTTGACTTGTTATTTTGGCTTGCGCTACACAAAGCCAAAGTAACAAGACAAAGAATTGCACAAACTCGGTATTTATGTACACATCGACCTATTACCACTTAAAAAAAATCCCAGAATTGCACAAAAATGGCATTGTGCACTCCGTTGACTTTATCTATGTACACATCGACCTATTTTCACTTAAAAAAAGTCAGGGAACTGCACATACTAGGCTTTGCGCACTCCCTTGAGTTTGTCCATGTACATATCAAACTATATTCACTTCAAAAGTTAAAGGAGCAGCCAACAAAAAATATAAAATCTCAATAAACTACATTTTAAATCAAACAATGAAATGACATAAAAAAGGAAATTCATCTTTGCACTGCACAAAGAAAATATCCACTCACCTTATTTACAAATTTCCCTGTCTTCAGTCCAACAAAATTCCTTAACAGCATCCAAAAACTTCCTAAAATTATCTGAACTAGAATCTGTATATTGGCGTTGCCACATAAATTCACAAAAATAAGAGTAAAAAAATATCCTCAGTAACGACTTTCAACCATACGCATTTCCTTCCTGCAAACAGGGCACATAATAACTACTAATAACTAAGTAAACCTTTATTTACACACCAGTCAGTAATGCTCTTTACCCCTTTCTTTCCAAATCGTACAGAAACTTCAAATTAATCTTATCACATTCGGCCATTTTACCATCTGAACCACAAAACAAGCAATATACTTCCTAACCAACACACACACACCACAAGCCCTTGCGAATTTACCACACTGATGCAACTGATTACATCCTAATAGGGTTTCCATAACATTCAACTACTCAGGCTACCATAAATGAAATAACAACTTCGGAATAATGCAAGAGGTACCCTTCTGTCTACTCTAACCAAAATGGAAAGTATACTGTATTTTTGAAAAGGTTAATGTATAATTTTTAAATTTGTTTATTTATCAAATAATATTTAGAATTCTTGTACAGTTTCAACACGTAAGAAATGTGCTTAAGATGTGAGAAAAGTCTTCCTTGTTTATATTGAATCTTAGTGTAATTAAAGTACTGGATTTATATTTGATTTCCTCAATAATATTTTCTTACCGAAGATTAGGTGCAATACTTTTACAAACATAATGTGTGTGAAGGATTAACCCTCTAAGCGGCAAGGCTGTATATATACGGCTTAGAATATTTTTTGTGATATCTGTAAGAACGTATACATAAGTGCATATTGAAATATGTCAAAGACATTAAGGCAATATATCAAAAGAAAAAAATCCAGGTATGAAATACCAGGAGAGGTTTTACATTAAAATCAAAAACATAATTTGTTTTTATAGTAGTTTTAGAAAATTTGTGCTTTCTTAGCGAAACCCTGGCCGCTCAGAGGGTTAATGCATGTAACAGATTTTTAGGAAAAAATATCAGTAGCATAACATGATGAATGTGAAAACCTTCTTTATAATATAATACATAAGCTGTTCATAATCATCTGAAAAACAGGCTCATGAGTAGTAAAACTGTTGGATACTGATAAATAAGTTTAATTCCTAATAAATATGCTTTTGGACACATTTTGCTCAGCTTGTCTGGTCTGATGGTCTCCATAAAATGTTAAATGAAGAACCAAGTGTTTTTGTCATAACTACCCAATACTATATCTGATCTGCAAAACAAGATTGTTGTGGCTCTGAAGACCAACATGCCAGTGAAATTGTTATGTATCTTACAGGTATTATAAAAGCAGATCAGCTAGATTACTCTACCAAGCAGTATGGGGGGATAGGTATCATATAACCATATACAAAATTGTGAAAACTGACCACAATTCTACTATCAAAAATGATTGCAAATTATAAGAACATAGGCAGTAGAAGTGTGGGCTACAGAAAAAAATTTCTTGCTCTTAAAAAAATAAAAATTAGAGGAATGCAGTGATGCTATTTGTTATTAGAATATTTGAGACAGATAAAGCAAATGCATGGGATCTCAAGAAAACTTATAAAATTTTGGCTAGGGATTACTACATGACATCTGAAATCCTAACCATTTAGAGCAGTTCTCAACCATTTGACTAACACGTACCATCTAAACAAAAACTGAAGTGCCACCACTACATTTTACAATGATGATTTTTCAGTTTCTCACGAGGTATTAAAAAAATATATTATCCCATTTGCAGAACTTATTGGCTATTTGTATTAAATATGTACACATAAAAATATTAGATTAAAAATTAGTTAAACATTTTAATTATCAAAATTTAAGTTATAATACTTTAATTCTAAAATTTAGTCTGAAATTTGGCCCTGCTTAAGAGATTTGAATCTCTTTATGTCTGGTCTTATTTCACTTAGTTTTAACCGTAAATTAGGATCCACTTTTAATTAATTACATTCTGTATCTATTTTTCGAATATAGCATGAAAGAAAATAATCCTTTGTTCACACAAATAGGTTGTGCAAAAAGGCAATGTAAATTTAATAACTTTATTTGAAAAATCCCCCCCTTTTTTTTTTTTTGGTTTTGTTTTGTTTCAGCCAGAGGTTAGCAAATGGGTTATCTTTGAAATCTTCAGTTAGACTTCAATCACAGAAAATTTTTCTCAATTGTTCTTTTTCTTCACGAGATAAAATTTCAGGTACATTTGAACAAACTGGATTTCTAATCCAATTTTCTTTTTCATAACCCTCTGGAAAACACATATTGAAATTATTTGTCAATGAAAAACAAAGATTTTTAGTGTCAGATGTTAATTCTTTTATTTTTCAAATTAGTTTTGATCAGAAAACTTTCTAAAAGTAGTAAAAAGCTTAAAATATTATTGCACAATTCTTTGATTATTAGCTTGAGTTTTTTTTTATTAGTGCATTTATTTTATCTCTAATGGTAAACAAATTAACACTTTGTCCTTGTAATCCTAAATTTTATTCATTTATAAACATGCCAACCATAATTTACCAAATAAACATTCTTACAGTTCAAATTTTGAATCACAGAGAAAAATTTCAATTTCTACTCGAAGTTCAAAAAGACGATTTAAAACTTTGCCTCTGGATAACCACCTTACTTCAGAATATAGTAAAAGCATTTCATGTTCACTGCCCATCTGTTTGCATAAAATCGTAAATATTCTTGAATTTTAAGCTCGGCTTTTAATAAAATTAACTGTTTTCACAGCTTGAATCAAAACTATTTTCAGGTTTTGGGGGATTGTTTTGGCTATTAAAACTTCACAATGAATGAAGCAGTGAGTAAATTCAGTCTCAGGTGCAACTTTCTTTATTTGAGAAATAACACCGGAATGTTTCCTGTTAAAGCCTCAGCTTCATCACTGCATACGGCAACCCACTTTTTCTGAGGAATATCATGCTTGGACATATAGTTGTCAATTTACTTTGAAAATTTCATTTGCAGTTGCCCTCTCATGAAGAGATTCTCAAAATAAGTACTCTTCGGCAAGTTGTTTATCTTTTTCGAAACGTATTTA